CAGAAAAGAAACAGCAGCAGGTGGGTGTTTTGGTTGCTAGAAAGAGACCAGGGTGGTAGATGATGGACTGGGCATGCAGCCGGCGGCTGGTTCAACACCCATCATCCACGGTGGAAGAGCTGCTGCACACACAGGGTGCCCCAGGTGGGTCCGAGAGAAGACCTCTGTCTGAAAGTCTTGGGTAAAGACTGTCAAGAAGTCATTCTCAGTCTTTGGTGGCTGAGGAGCCCAAGGTTGAGAGTTCGAATCCCCCCACCGCGCCTCCATGACCAGGTGGTGACCTGGATGATCTCGAGGGCCTCTCTTCACTCTGCCGGTCTAAGATGATTGATTTAAAATTTTTAAAAGCTTTAACCCAGCCCTTTGTTTACCACCATGAGGACTAGAACCTTAGGGGTTCCTCAGGAAAACGGAGATCAACAGTTCCCAACTTTGGGTAACCCCAGTTGGTCTCTGACTGCGATTCCCAGAAGCCGCACCTCTGCTGGCCCGGAACATCTGGGTCTCCCCCCCCCCAGCTTGGGAGCCCCACACTGGGGATGAACCATGGACCTCCTGGTTTGCCGAGGGCCACATTTCCAAACAGGACCAGTTTTGATGGTGGGCAAATCAAAGATACTCCCTGATTTCTCCCTAGATTCTTCGTCGGAGGACGGCAAGGGGACATCGTCGTCCCTGAATGATGCAGGGCAGGAGAGAGAGGTATGGCCCAGGGCCCTTCTCCGTGGGGGGGGAGACACAGGGCCCTTTGAACATCACCATTGAGCCTAGATGGTTTCGGAATTCCCCCCCACACACACACACACACGTCATTCCCGATGATTTTCTCTCGGTCTCTTTTCTTGGTGGCTTTTTTTTTTAACTCTGCGATGGCTTTTTCTCTCCGGATCCAGAGTTTTGAGCGCTCTGAAACTTCCCGTCGGTGAGGGGGAGACTTTGCCAAAGCTTCCCAGTGGGAAGTTTTTAATGGCCTCGTTGGGAGCTTGCTAATTTTAAAGGTGCCCAGGAACTGCTGGAGAGCTTAGGGGGGTGGAGGTCTCTGGCTGCGGAGTCAGAGGTTGGGAGTTCGAATCTCCCACTCAGCCTTCCTAACAGGGGCTGACCTTGATCGCCTCTCGGGTCTTAACATTCTGATGGGGCAAACAGACCCACACGCCTGTCCCACTAGGTAGTCGTAACCCAGACCGGCCACTTGCTGGAGGCTTTCACACCCCCAGACCCGACGGCAGATGCCAGCAAGCCCCCCACGGAGGAAGAGGGCCTGGAAGAGTCGGCCTTCCTCGTTGCCAGGCAGATTTCCAAACCGTCTCCGTTCCAAGAGGTCCAGCCGGTTCAGGATGAGGCTTTACAGCCAGGTAAGTGCCAACCACGTGGATGAGCACAGATGGGGGGGGAGGCTGTCCGTTCAGGGGGTGGAGGAAGGGGTCCGATCCCAGCATCTGGTGTACAAAATGGGTGAAAACCAGGGACCTAGGGAATATTTTTAAAATCATTTCTAGATATCTGCTGCTTTCCAAATTTTGAGATGCCTGAGACTCTCCCCGGTTTAAGCAAAACTCTTCCACCTGCAAAAATAACCCCCCAGCTTTTTCTTTCTTTCTTTCTTTCTTTCTTTCTTTCTTTCTTTCTTTCTTTCTTTCTTTCTTTCTTTCCTTCCTTCCTTCCTTCCTTCCTTCCATCCATCCATCCATCCATCCATCCATCCATCCATCCATTTTTGGCCTGTACTTTTAGCCCAAGACACATCCAAAACACATGCCACTTTATGCTTTTTCTTGGAGAAACCTGTGCCAGGAGGAAAAAATCTGACATTTTATACCAAAATTGTAATATTTTGGCACCAACAGTTGTTAATTTCCCAAGGAAGAAAGAAATTGGGGTAAAATAGCCAAGAAAGATGGTGAGAGTTCTCAGGAAAATAAAAATATTTTTGCAGAATAATTGCAGAAAAAGAAAAAGTTGTTTGTGTGGGTTTTTTAAATTTCGCAAGTCACTTCTGCACATTTCTCTATCTTGAAAAACCCTGAGAAATATGACTTTAAAAAGTTAAGGTGCTTTTGTCCACAGTTCAAACCACAGGATCCTAATTTCCAAGAGTTAAGGTTCTTTTATTCACAGTTTAAAATAAAGGTACTCAGATTTCCAAGAGTTAAGGTCCACAGTTCAAACCAAAGGTCCACAGTTCAAACCACAGGCGTACAGCTTCGAAGAGTTAAGGTGCTTTTCTCCACAGTTCAAATCAATGCGCCCACCTTCGAAGAGTTAAGGTGCTTTTCTCCACAGTTCAAATCAATGCGCCCACCTTCGAAGAGTTAAGGTGCTTTTCTCCACAGTTCAAATCAATGCGCCCACCTTCGAAGAGTTAAGGTGCTTTTCTCCACAGTTCAAATCAATGCGCCCACCTTCGAAGAGTTAAGGTGCTTTTCTCCACAGTTCAAATCAATGCGCCCACCTTCGAAGAGTTAAGGTGCTTTTCTCCACAGTTCAAATCAATGCGCCCACCTTCGAAGAGTTAAGGTGCTTTTCTCCACAGTTCAAATCAATGCGCCCACCTTCGAAGAGTTAAGGTGCTTTTCTCCACAGTTCAAATCAATGCGCCCACCTTCGAAGAGTTAAGGTGCTTTTCTCCACAGTTCAAATCAATGCGCCCACCTTCGAAGAGTTAAGGTGCTTTTCTCCACAGTTCAAATCAATGCGCCCACCTTCGAAGAGTTAAGGTGCTTTTCTCCACAGTTCAAATCAATGCGCCCACCTTCGAAGAGTTAAGGTGCTTTTCTCCACAGTTCAAATCAATGCGCCCACCTTCGAAGAGTTAAGGTGCTTTTCTCCACAGTTCAAATCAATGCGCCCACCTTCGAAGAGTTAAGGTGCTTTTCTCCACAGTTCAAATCAATGCGCCCACCTTCGAAGAGTTAAGGTGCTTTTCTCCACAGTTCAAATCAATGCGCCCACCTTCGAAGAGTTAAGGTGCTTTTCTCCACAGTTCAAATCAATGCGCCCACCTTCGAAGAGTTAAGGTGCTTTTCTCCACAGTTCAAATCAATGCGCCCACCTTCGAAGAGTTAAGGTGCTTTTCTCCACAGTTCAAATCAATGCGCCCACCTTCGAAGAGTTAAGGTGCTTTTCTCCACAGTTCAAATCAATGCGCCCACCTTCGAAGAGTTAAGGTGCTTTTCTCCACAGTTCAAATCAATGCGCCCACCTTCGAAGAGTTAAGGTGCTTTTCTCCACAGTTCAAATCAATGCGCCCACCTTCGAAGAGTTAAGGTGCTTTTCTCCACAGTTCAAATCAATGCGCCCACCTTCGAAGAGTTAAGGTGCTTTTCTCCACAGTTCAAATCAATGCGCCCACCTTCGAAGAGTTAAGGTGCTTTTCTCCACAGTTCAAATCAATGCGCCCACCTTCGAAGAGTTAAGGTGCTTTTCTCCACAGTTCAAATCAATGCGCCCACCTTCGAAGAGTTAAGGTGCTTTTCTCCACAGTTCAAATCAATGCGCCCACCTTCGAAGAGTTAAGGTGCTTTTCTCCACAGTTCAAATCAATGCGCCCACCTTCGAAGAGTTAAGGTGCTTTTCTCCACAGTTCAAATCAATGCGCCCACCTTCGAAGAGTTAAGGTGCTTTTCTCCACAGTTCAAATCAATGCGCCCACCTTCGAAGAGTTAAGGTGCTTTTCTCCACAGTTCAAATCAATGCGCCCACCTTCGAAGAGTTAAGGTGCTTTTCTCCACAGTTCAAATCAATGCGCCCACCTTCGAAGAGTTAAGGTGCTTTTCTCCACAGTTCAAATCAATGCGCCCACCTTCGAAGAGTTAAGGTGCTTTTCTCCACAGTTCAAATCAATGCGCCCACCTTCGAAGAGTTAAGGTGCTTTTCTCCACAGTTCAAATCAATGCGCCCACCTTCGAAGAGTTAAGGTGCTTTTCTCCACAGTTCAAATCAATGCGCCCACCTTCGAAGAGTTAAGGTGCTTTTGTCCACAGTTCAAACCACAGGCGTAGAGTTTCCAAGAGTTAACGTTCTTTAGTCTGCACTTCAAACCAAAGGCGCCCACCTTCGAAGAGTTAAGGTGCTTTTGTCCACAGTTAAAACCAAAGGCATACAGCTTCGAAGAGTTAAGTTTCTTTAGTCTGCACTTCAAAACAAAATCACCCACCTTCAAAGAGTTAAGGTGCTTTTGTCCACAATTCAAACCAAAGGCGTACAGCTTCGAAGAGTTAAGGTGCTTTTGTCCGCAGTTCAAACCAAAGGCGCCCACCTTCGAAGAGTTAAGGTGCTTTTGTCCGCAGTTCAAACCAAAGGCGCCCACCTTCGAAGAGTTAAGGTGCTTTTGTCCGCAGTTCAAACCAAAGGCGCCCACCTTCGAAGAGTTAAGGTGCTTTTGTCCGCAGTTCAAACCAAAGGCGCCCACCTTCGAAGAGTTAAGGTGCTTTTGTCCGCAGTTCAAACCAAAGGCGCCCACCTTCGAAGAGTTAAGGTGCTTTTGTCCGCAGTTCAAACCAAAGGCGCCCACCTTCGAAGAGTTAAGGTGCTTTTGTCCGCAGTTCAAACCAAAGGCGCCCACCTTCGAAGAGTTAAGGTGCTTTTGTCCGCAGTTCAAACCAAAGGCGCCCACCTTCGAAGAGTTAAGGTGCTTTTGTCCGCAGTTCAAACCAAAGGCGTACAGCTTCCAAGAGTTAAGGTTCTGTAGTCTGCCGTTTAAACCAAAGGCACCCACCTTCAGAGAGTTAAGGTGCTTTTGTCCGCAGTTCAAACCAAAGGCGCCCATCTTCGAAGAGTTAAGGTTCTTTAGTCTGCACTTCAAACCACAGGCGCCCACCTTCGAAGAGTTAAGGTGCTTTTGTCCACAGTTAAGGCATGCAGCTTCCAAGAGTTAAGGTTCTTTAGTCTGCACTTCAAACCAAAGACACCCACCTTCGAAGAGTTAAGGTTCTTTTGTCCGCAGTTCAAACCAAAGGCGCCCACCTTCGAAGAGTTAAGGTGCTTTTGTCCACAGTTAAGGCATGCAGCTTCCAAGAGTTAAGGTTCTTTAGTCTGCACTTCAAACCAAAGGCGCCCACCTTTGACAAGTTAAGGTGCTTTTGTTTGCAGTTCAAACCAAAGGCGCCCAGCTTCCAAGAGTTAATGTGCTTTTGTCCGCAGTTCAAACCACAGGTGCTCCATATCCAGATGTCTGCTTGGACCTCTCTTGGACTTTAGAGGGGTTCTCCCAACCCGAGGATCCTCCTCCCTGTAATTTAGTTTTTAAAACTATTGTAAAAAGCCCTCTTGCCTCCTGTAGTCGCCACAGGGAGCAGTTATTTAGGCTGTTGTTTGCTGCCTGGATAGTCTGGTGAGGGAGGAACCTGGCTGCGGAGCCAAAGGTGGGGAGTTCGAATCCTGAATCATGCCCCTCCTGGAAGAAGAGCCAGCCTGGGGGGCCAGCTGCAGAACAGAAGGGGGAAAACACCTTTCTGCGTCTTCTCTACCTGGAAAACCTGGAGAAGGGTCTCCATCGGTCAGGATGGACTCTCCCCTGAGATCCAGAGGCTGTGAGAGTCAGGCCCTGATTTGCGAACCCCGATCCTGTGTCTTCTTCTTTTCCCCAGAGGTGCGGGTTCGAAGGAAGGAAGGACTGGCGCTTCAGGAGGCCAACAAAGGGTGGGCTGTGGACCTGGAACAACCAGGGCATCCGCCGGGTCCCCGGAAGGAGGAAAAAGAAGAAAATGTTGCTCACACAGGGCCAGAGAACGGACCGAGACGTCCTCTTAAGGAGCCATCAGCATTCTCTCGAGAAGCACCAAAGCAGGTAGGTTGCTTTTCTCAAAGGTCATTAAGATTATTAAGCCTGTTGGGGTTTCGGAGAGCTGACGGATCCGTGACCCTTGGAAAATCAGGTCCTCAGCAGCCCGGCTTGGGTCTTGCAAATTCAAGGTTGTGGTTTCCTCTATAGAGTGAATTCATCTCACATTTTGACTTCCTCTTTCCCTCCTGCCATCCGTATAACTGTATTTTGCCCTGATTCTTTCTGTCTCACATGAGATCCAAAGTAAGACTATGTTTAATCATTGTAGCTTCTAAGGATGGGTCAGGATTGATCCTGCTCTAAAGCCTTCTCCTATGAAATCTGTTCCGGTTCATGGCACCCCTGTGGATTTTGGTGACCTCTCAAGCCCTTCTGTTGAATTCAGGTCCCACAAAGGCTGCGGCTTCCTTTCGGAAGACGATCTGTCTCGTGTTCAGAACTGGTGGACAGAGCCACCTTTATCATTTGGCAGGTCTGGGGTTTCTTGAGAGGAAAGGGAAATTCTGATTTACGTACCTGATTTCCAAGTCTTTATATTTCTTTCCCAATAAGGAAGGACCAAGAGAGTCATTTGGAGGATTTGGTTGCTCAGAGAAATTGGCTGGCTTTGCATGATTTGAAAACAGGTGTTTCTCCTGAATACATCCCCCTATTATAACATATTTTTTAAAAATTACTTATATTGTGCTCTGCAGACGTAGAGTACAGAGATCTGAAGGGGAGGTATCTTGCCACGGAAATAAATCGCTTTTCTCATCTCAGCTTTTTCTAGGTATCTTGCTGCGGAAATACCGTAAATCGCTTTTCTCATCTCAGCTTTTTCTTCCAAAGCTCTGTGGCTTTTGCTCAATACTTAAAGGTAATGCACTTGTAGATTTGGTTCCAGGACTGGGAGGAGGAGAAAGAAGTGAGAGGAACCCAACCAGTGGCTGAAAAAGAGGAGCCCCTTGTCCCGGATTCAAATCTGGAGAGCAAGATCGTCGCGGTGATCCCTCAGCAGACCCCCCACGAGAACGTAAGGGTCTTTGGTATTTCTCCGGGCGGAGGGGTGAGGTGGTAGCCGTTGGATTAGCAGCCCAGAGACTTGTGATTAAGGTTGCAAAGGAGAAAATGTAACGTTTGCAGCTTTGGGAAATCCTCTGGCGATGGTGCAGGCAAGAGAGCCCTAAACTCGGTTATAGAAACCCCTGAAGTGGACTCCCATGCGTGTGTACCTGTTCAGCAGGCAGTGCATTTCTCCAGAAAGCAGTGGGGGGAATTACGAAAAAGCCACGTGAATCTTTTCCTAGCTTAAAAGGAGGAAAAAGGCAGGAGATGAGATCAGAGAGAGGAAGAGGAGGGAAGCAACGGAGGAATATCAATCTAAACATAGAGCTTGAGAAGATAAGGGAGGGCAAACACACTCTATATGGGACTCGCAATTCCATGTGAGGTTGACACAGGTTGAAGTCACTCTGCTTGGACCCTATTCTTTTTCTAAATCTTTTTTTCTTTCCAGTCGGGGGTCATCGGCAGAGACGTTTCCAGGGGGACATCCCGCAAAATCAAGTACGAAATACCCACCAGTGCCTCATCGGTGAAGGAAACCGTGCTCCGAACAGAAACAAAGGTAGGTCTCTTCCCGGGCCACGGCCTCCGATTCCAGCCACGTTCGGGGTGGTGGTGGTGGAGGCAACCGATCCATACCCATTTTTTTATGTGGAATGCAATCCTGTGGACTTCAACGAGCCTTCCTACCAAGTAAGACACACTTAGGGTTGTCCTCACTTATCTTTTCAAGCTCTAAGTTTTGGTTGATACTCTTCAGTCACTTCCCTTCTCCTCCTCTTCCTCTCTTTGTGGTCATCTCCTGATTTTTTCCTGTTCTCTGCTGGGAGGGGGGGGGGAGATCCAGATTTACATGGCTTTTCTGTCCCTCCCATAACTGATTGGCAGGAAAGTTATTTGTTGGCCCAAAATCTTGTGAAGGAGGGCATGCTCTGAAAAAGCGTGATAAAAATACTTACAGACAGACAGACAGACAGACAGACAGATAGACAGACAGATATAAAAAATGGCCGCTCCCTCCAGCGGCCAGTCCTGGTAACTTCGTCTTTAGCAACCTAGATTTCTAGGATTTTTCTTTTCATATTTCCCGACCGTGGATCAGCGAATCATGCGGATAAAGAGTGTGTGTGTCCTACTGTATTGATAAAACGGGGCATGAAATACAAGTTTAAAAATAGAATTCGACTCCCTCTCCCCTCCCAGGCTTGGCTGTCGAAAGAGGAGGCCCCGAGCGCCACCGTGATCTACCCGAAGCCCAATGCACGTCCGATGGGGAAAGAGAAAAGCTTCCACAACACCATGGGGGGAATCACCACCCACCTGCAGGAAGCCGGCAGCAGTTCCACCTCGGCCATGGTCAACAGCCTCAACTCCTTTGTGGAGTCGCCCGTTGGCCAGGTCTTCGCCGACACCATCGAGCGGGCCCTGCAGAAATCCGAGGAGTGGCTCAACTATTACCTCCCGTCACCGGAGAACCGAGAGGGTGAGGTCTGCAAAAAGCCATCCTGGGTGTTGCTGTGATCCTCGCCCCAGACGACCAAAAATAAATAAAATAAAATAAAATAAATAAAAAATAAAAATAAAAAAAGGAGAGAGATTTTGCTGTTGGAGCGGTCTATTCCGGTGTAAAATGGATGAGTGAGCTGTTAAGAGCCGTTCCCCTTGCAAAAGACCTGCCCCTTCTATGTTAGATCTGACTGGATCTGACTTCCTAATTTAGGGGGCTTTTCCTTCGGGGGGGGTTGTGGGGCTGCCCTGATTGGTTTTCCAAATTCCCCAATGGCATCACTGCCGTTGATCTAAGAGCGAGAGTCCCGCCGGTGTGAGACGGGCCGACCGGTTGGATGGCGCTGCGCTGACACTCGTGGTTCGGTCTCCCAGCCCCTTCCAGCGCGGCGACGGAGGAGGAGCGGCGCGACGTGTCTTTCCCGGACCTGTGCAAGGAAGGGTGCTTTGTGCGGATCAACTCCCTCTCCACCCAGCTGAGAAACCGGGCCTTCAAGTACGTCCTCCGCCAGCTGAAGGCCACGCGCCGGAGCACCCAGGAGCACCTCTCTCTCCTGGATCAGGTCCTTGACTTGGTAGGTAAGACCATCAACACGCCAAGCCGGTTCCCCGCTCCTTCTCTCGAGGTTGTCCTCCTGGGGGGGGGGAAGTCTTCTCCAAGCACCTCCATCCAGGATGTCCTCCAGATGTTTCCCAGCCGAACCGAGATTCAAATGAGGGTCCTGGATTATCGTATTTCACTTGGATCACTCAGGGGTTTGGGCATCTGGCGGGGAATTCAACCCCCCCACTGGGTCTCCTTGACTCTCAGGCGGGGGTCCCTTCCAGCTCTACGACAATGATCAATCCATGATCGTCAGCTTAGTTCGCTGACCATGGAGCCAAAGGTTAAAAGTTTGGTTTCCCCACGGCGCCTCCTCAACAGTGGCTGGACTGGATGATCTTTAGGGTCCCTTCCAGCTCTGCCGTTCAAAGAGGATGATGATAATGTAGGGTTTTTAGTTCAATATCTGCTATTCAAACCACTGTTTCCCTAGAAAAGAAGGGATACATCATCTCTCCCCATTCCAGTGCCACCTTAAGTGTGGGAGGAGCAAACCGAACCCACCTACCTTTATTCCTCATCATCTCCCAATCTAAATTACAGCAGGACCCCCATATCCACGGGAATCGGTATCCACTGATTCGCTTATCCACGGCCTGAAAATTAATGCAAATATTAAAAGAGAAATTCTTGAAATATGTCGTTCTAAAGAGGAAGTTACCAGAACTGGCTGATGAGATGAGGGAGCGTGACTTTCCAAAGGTTGAGACTATTCCTCATTCTTCTTCTTTCTCTCTAGGGGATCCAACAAATAAAGCTTTTCTGCATTCCAGGTAGAGCAGTCCAGTCGTGTTGCGCCGTCCAGTTTAGTCAAAGTCCCTGAAAAGCTGTCCAGCATGTGGGCGTACTGGACCACGGACCAAGACTCTGATGGCAGCCAGGGGCCGAGAAGGCAGAAGAGCGACTCCATCTCTTTTCTGCCAGAGGTATCATCCTGCAGACCTGAAAGGACAGTGCTTAGTTTACTGGAGGATGTTAGGCCCCGATGTTGATCCAGTTACCTCCCTTTTAGAACGGCCCCATGAATGGGACAGCTCAGAAATTTCGCTTCCCCCCATTGCCCTGGGAGTCTCATCTTCCAGCACTATCTGATGTTGATCCAGTTACCTCCCATTTAGAGCAGCCTCATGAATGGGAGAGCTCAGAAATTTCGCTTCCCCCCCCCATCGCCCTGGGAGTCTCATCTTCCAGCACTATCTCTTGTTTCATTTTTGCACCATCCTCGCCACCTCGTCCCCTCCCAACTCAGGGTGACCCTAGAGCCCAGCTCAGTTCCTGCAGGTTCAAGTTTGTGGCTTCCTCGAGGGAGTCTGTCTCTCTCATGCTGGCCTCCAGAGAAACTTTAGTTGTGTGGACTTTTTTCAGTGTGCGTGCGCGCACACACACACACACACACCAGTTGTGTGGACTTTTTTTCAGTGCACACACACACACAGAGAGAGAGAGAGAGAGAGAGAGCCGCCTGGGTGGGAACCATGAGAAGGGGTATTTTTCTCAAGATTGGTCTTGGGTGCATCTTGCGCTTCTCTCGCTGTTCCTTCCTCTCGTTCACGAATGTTTTCTCTCTTTCGGCTAGCAACTGGAGCTGAAAGCGCTCAGTTGTGTGGACTTTTTTTCAGTGCACACACACACACAGAGAGAGAGAGAGAGAGAGAGAGCCGCCTGGGTGGGAACCATGAGAAGGGGTATTTTTCTCAAGATTGGTCTTGGGTGCATCTTGCGCTTCTCTCGCTGTTCCTTCCTCTCGTTCACGAATGTTTTCTCTCTTTCGGCTAGCAACTGGAGCTGAAAGCGCTGAGCCTGACTCGGATCGTGGCCCGGGAGCTTTACACCACCTACCACAACCTCCTCCCGCACATTCCCGAACTTCCGCTCCACCTCCAGGAGAAGGCTTCCCAAGTCTACGAAAGCCTGGAAGAACTCCAGTCCCACCTGGCGAAGTCCCCCTCCCTCCGAGATCTGCCGTCCCACCTCGCGATCCACAGCCGGCAGAAAATTGCCAGGGCCCGGGAAAATCTGGACGAGATCTTGGATTTTATGGCGGAAAACCCGCCGACTCAGTGGCTGTCCCCAGCGAGCTCCTCCAGGGCTTATAAAGAGCCGTTGTTCGGAGAAGGGAGCAAGCCCCCCGAGCCACAAAACAAGGGGGCCCCACCACCGCCACCACCACCTCCTCACCTTTAATCTCATGGAATTCCCCCAAACCAGGGAGGGTCAGGTTGAATGGGCTATCCTCACTTTTGCTGTGATCCCTCTGGGTCTCGAGTTCCAGTCACGCCCAAATCCTGGAGTTGCAGTGCCTTCTTTGAAGATGCCGGCGCTCGACTGGTACCGCCACCGGTTGCCTTTTGACTCCCCCTGCCTCTCACATCGGACCTCAGCGCTGTTGTCCCAATTAAAAGGCCAACTAAGAATGCCGTTTCTACTTTTTGTAATGGGTCTCTGTGGTGGAACGCAAAACTCTGGCCCTTCAGTTCCTGGGGTCTTAAATTTTTAGGCATGGAAACTACCAAAGAGTGAAAGAAAATATAGAAAGAAGAGATAATGAGAGACTGCAGTAACCAAGTGTGGCCACAGGAGGGAGACACTGGGCAGGCCCTTAAGATTTTACATAGGCAAGAATGGGAGGCTGCAGTAACCAGGTGTAGCCACGGGAGGGAGACAAAAAGCAGCCTTTTAGGATTTTCCATAGAAATTAGTTAGCCTCCTCTTATTTCCTATGGAAAATCCTAAAAGGCTGCTCTTTGTCTCCCTCCTGTGGCCTCACGATGGTTACTGCAGCCTCCCATGCGTCTCTATTGGAAGATTAGCCTCCTCTTTTTCCTATGGAAAATCTAGTGTCTGTCTCCCTCCTGTGGTCACAACTGGTTATTGCAGCCTCCCATTCTTTTCTATGTAAACTATTAAGCTTCTGCCCCACTGTCTCCCCCCAGTGGCCTCGCCTGGTTACCGTATCCTATTTTTTCCTATGTAAAATCCTAAGGGTCCACCCAATGTCTCCCTCTGGTGACCATGTTTAGTAGCTGCAGTCTCCCATTCATTCCTATTGGAAGACCAGCTCTCCATTCTAATAATGTATATATATAAAATCCTGAGAAAGTTGCAGTGTCTCCCTCCTGTGGCCTCACCTGGACACTGCATGAGGACATTTTCTGCTATTATTAGCTTTATTCTGATATTCCTAGGTATATTCTGGTACAGTATCTGTATTTATTGACAAATGCATTCTGGTACTCCTATATACATTTTGGTATTCTCAGGTATATTCTGGTATCTATATTTGCTAATATTGGTATTCTTGCCTCCCCAGATGTATTCTAGCATATTTATCTCTTAACATATTTGTATTCTGGCATATCTACGTGTATTCTGATATCTCTATTTGTTAATATTTATATTCTTCTGTTGCCAGATGTGTTTCAGAATCTACATACAGTATATCTGTTATTTGTATTCTGGTATCTGTATCTCATCATATTTGTATGCCTGTATCCTGTTTATATTTGCATTTCTGTCTGCTAGTATCTATATTATAGATATTTGTATTCTTGTCTTTCCGGGTATATTCTAGAATCTGTATCTGTTAATATTTGTATTCTGGATATATTCTAGTATCCTTCACTGTTAACATTTCTATTCCCGTATTCTCAGGGGTAGGCTAGAATCTATATTTGTTAATATTTGTATGCTGAGATGTATTCCAGTAGCTATAATTGTTAGTATTTTTATTCAAATATTCTAGTATCTATTAATATTTGATTCAAGTACTCTCAGGTGTATCCTAGAATCTCTATCTGTCCAGAGTTGCCTTCCTGTTTTCTGTTAATATTTCTATCCTGGTGTTTGGAGGTGTATTTGTTAATTATTGTAGTCTCAGTGTATTCTGGCATTCCTGGGAGTTTGCTAGTATCTGTGTTTTGATATTCCTAGGTGTATTGAGAAGTAAGGGACTCAGAAGACAAAGTGGCCAAATCCTGCTGGTTGTTGGTTGTCACTTTCAGCCCATGACTGAGAACACTCACCTGCATCGTAAATGATCTCTTCATAATGTCACAAACACCTGCTTCCCCATCGATGTTATTTTTGCCAACACCGCCTGTCTGCCCTCTGCCTAGGAGATATATATATTTATACATACATACATACATACATACATACATACATACATACATACATACATACATACATACATAACCCACCTATCTGGTCAGTAAACAGGACACTCTTGATACAAAATAATTAATAGACTTCAATCGGGCATCAGGAATGTCCATACACAGAGACCAGTTTCAAATAATGTTCATGTACTTGGACACACTGCAGAGGATCTGAAAGTTGCCATTCCAGAGAAGAAACATTACAGGACAAGAATCCAGAGAGACACAGCTGCGATAAAATATATACATGGGTTTAAGACCCATCTCAATGGACTCGCTATCAGTCAAGGTTTGTTAGGCCACTATCAAATACACAATATTGTGTTTGTTGAATTCCCAGCTATATTTCCTTCTAACAGTCAGCTCACAAGCATCATTAGAGATACTAGTTCAGCTTGTTGTCACTGCTTATTCTTTCTAGGCTGGGATTAATTTAGGCGCCAATCATTGACATTTTTGGCAGAACCCGGCTTTCTGGGAACTGGATACCAACAGGGGTTTTAAAACATAATGCCAGGTCAACAACTTGGTGCGTCTCTGGTGTGATGCCGTGTAGACGTACTTGCCACATAGTCCCACTCCTATGCCTGAGGAAGTGGAGTTATCCACAAACATGCTCATTAAAATATAGCAATTAGTCTTTAAAGTGACACAATTTTCTGGTCTCCTTTATTTTCCTTACAATTTTTGTCCGATTGGTGTTGTCTGATATTCCATGGCGTATTGCAGGAATTTCGAGCAGCACAGTTTTGGTTAAACAGCGATTCCCCCACCAACGCCATCGATGTCTGATATTCCATGGCATATTGCAGGAATTTCGAGCAGCAGTTTTGGTTGAACAGCGATTCCCCCACCAACGCCATCGATCAAGATTCAATTTGAATTGTGCCCAGTCAGCCCCACGTAAGTTCAACACGGAGAGTCTACTTGCCCCAAAACACATATTCTACTATCTGTTATTTGTATTCTGGTATAGTTCAGTATTCCTAGGAGCATTCTAGTATCTCTGTTAATATATGTATTCTGGTGTTACTAAGTGTATTCTGGCATTTTCAGTTTTTAAATATTTATGTCTCTTATTTGTATTCCACTATGGTCAGGTGTATTTCACTAGAACTATTAACCTTTATATTTTCGCATTGGTATGTTTATTCTGGTATTTGTATCCTTGTATTCCCACATGAATTTTATCACCTATCTCTCTTAATCTTTTTTATTATTACAAAGCATGCTCTACTGTCCATACCTGTTAATTTCTGTACTCTACTTTTAGATGCCTTCTCGACTGGACATGCACATTCTTTCTATTCTGGTTTCCCTTGGTGTTATTTGTCTTGTTGGCATGACTAGCTACACTCTATTTTTAGATGCCTTCTCGACTGGACATGCGTATTCTATTCTGGTTTCCCTTGGTGTTATTTGGCTTGTTGGCATGACTAGCTACAATCCGTTGTCTTCAGAGTTTATTCTAGTTTTGATATCTGTTCATATTCCAGTATTCCCATGTGTATTCTAGTGTCTATCTCTATTAAATGTTTTCGAAGTTATGTTTTGGTACACAATATCTCCATCGGTTAATAGTGGCATCAAGCTAGTTGTATTCTAGTATTCATTTCCACGAAGATTTGTTCAGGGATGTGGTGGCACAGCGGGTTAAACCTATTTTCAAAGTTATGTTTTGGTACACAACATCTCCATCGGTTAATAGTGGCATCAAACTAGTTGTATTCTAATACGTATTCATTTCCACTAAAGTGTGTTCACAGACGTGGTGGTGCAGCGGGTTAAACCTCAGAAGCCTCTGGGCTGCAAGGTCGGAAGACCAGCTGTCGTGAGATCGAATCCACACTATGGAGGGAGCTCCCGTCGCTTGTCCCAGCTCCTGCCAACCTAGCTGTTCGAAAACATGTAAAAATGCGAGGCAATAAATAGGTACCACTTTGGTGGGAAGGTCACGGCGTTCCGTGTCTAGTCGCACTGGCCACGTGACCACGGAAACTGTCTTTGGACAAACGCTGGCTCTACAGCTTGGAAACAGAGATGAGCTCTGCCCCCTAGAATCGGACATGACTGGACTAAATGTCAAGGGGAACCTTTACCTTTATGGTGTGTTCTAGCATCTAAATCTGTTAAACTGGTCTTCAGCTCCGTTGATACATAGATTCTTAGGTGGAGTCTATTCTTAAATAAAGTTAGTTATCTTTTGATAAGTGTATTCTGCTATCCCGAAATTTCTTCTGGATTTGGAGATCACACGTTCAGAGCGTCACTAGAACTGAAAGATTTGATGGCTCATCGTCAGCATTGATGCAGAAATCTAATGGATGTGTAACAATAAAAAAACACACACTTCATGTTCCACTTGGTTTCTTTCTTGTGCGGTCACCACACCGGTTTTATTTCCCCGCTTGGTTTAATTAACTCACGATTCTAGCCTTTCCCCTTTCCAGTCCCTTCTTTATCTAAGGAGATCTTGGCTCACACACCTCCAGCATTTATGGTTACCAATAAAACCCACACTTTCTTGATGGTGCAACTTGGCTTCCACCGACCTTCCAGTGATGCAACCACTTTTATTTAGGCGTTAAGGTTATCGTTTGGGAAGGGAAAACACGAGAGGGCATGTAAAAAAAAAATAACCAACAAAACTCCTGGATGATTACATATTTCAGAACCAGAAATGACAGAGAAGAACGTTTGGTCCCTTTCCAGCCTTCTCAGGGTTTCATCCTTCTAAACCTTTCCCCTTTCCTTCCACTCCACAAACATTAGCAAGATCCTAGTATGGATTGTTAACTTTTTTAAACTTTAAACTGGAGTTTTCTTTCAAAGATATAGCTAGAATACTAGAAAATCCAGGTAAGTGAGCCCCCGAGGGGGGGGGGGAACAGAGCAGACCGGTCACATTTCCATCTAATTCCCCTGCACTGAAGAACAAGGCAAGTGTTTGGGAGAAGACCCCATTTTCTTTCTCTGTGCGTATCACGCCTCCAAAAGCCAATATAAGAGGGGCCAAGCCCGAAAACCCACCGAGGTGGCCGATCCTGGCATCACAGAATGAGCCATCCGCTCCAAATTTTAGTCCAACTTTTGCAAGGGTGGCGGTGAATTCTCTTCTTTAGTCTTTAAAGGAGAAGGGTCAGCCCCAGGGAAATCTCTCCTGCGAAATGCAGGCTAAAACCCAGAAAGGAGTCCAAGCTTCCCCCGATGATGTTCCCCCCACCAACCTCACTTTGGGGGCTAAGCTGAAGGATATGAAAATGGAGAACTTTGTGCTCACCAAGTATCCCCTAATAGCTGCTCTTAACTGGGTTATCGGGCATGTTGTGAGGGAAAAAATAATACACCTTTTATGTGGGTGAGTTAGTACACTTTCTTGTTAACTTGGGTTAAATGAGTTCCCTCAAGATTCTGGTGAAACCCCAGATACTAATTAGGTTGCACTCGGACCCACAAGAGCAACCAAATTAGCAGCTTCTCACCAAATCTGGCTCATGCGGACATGTTTCAAAGCATCTCTTATCCTCTGTTAGTTTCACGTTGCCACTCAACAGAGTCATTTGCCTTTTCCCCCCTCACCCCCTGGACGCGTGAAAGCTTGCTCCTTCAGACAGTCAACTTGGTCCCACCCAACCCAAACCCCGGTGCTCCTGCTATTCCATCTCAATCTCCTCTGCCTCAGGTTTGCCAGATGGCATAAAAGGCCCCACGAGCCAAGAAAGTGGGGTGTTATGGGTCAGCTGGTCCATCAGCTCCTCCGTCAGCTCTCGGGCCTTGGCGATCTTCTCGCGGCTCTGGGCCAAGACGGAAGCGGACAAGTCCTCGAAGGACTTGGCGGAGGTGAAAGATGTGCCAAGGTCCTCCACATTCTGCCGGACAAGGGCCACTTTCTCCTGGAGGCTGGCGGGGAGACCTTGGAGGTTGGAGACCCAAGCTGCAGTGGCCGACTGGAGCTGTTGGGTGAGGCTACGAGAGACCTCCAAAGCTTGAACCTCGATCGGCTGAAAGAGGAGAAAGATTGTCAAGAGTGAAGTCCAAGGTGGCCCCCTTTGGAAGACTCGTGGCATTTCCGAGGTTGACTGACTCCAGTTCCCACCCACCACAGTCAACATGGATGGGAAGTAGAGTCCTCCAGAAGACCATTCATCCCCCACTCTTCAGCAAGTTTCTAACTTTCTTCAACACGTCTCTGTGTTTATATGAAGGGTGGGCAAGACTTTCTAGACGTTGCTGGACTTCCACGCTCGTCAGTGCCCACAATGTCTGGGGCTGATGGGAGTTGTAATCCAGAAACACCTGGAGAGCCACCCTGCGCTCATTCCTGATCTATCCCAAGATACTAAGGAGATGAAATGTTCTCTCGGCTTTCCTCAATAACGGTGATGATCTTCTCAAGACCTTCTCAAGATGGGGAAGTCCTGCAGGAGAGATCTCTCTAGGTTGCAGAAACCCCACCTTTCCAGGAACCTACCACAGAATAGAGAGCTTCTCTGGACAGCACAAGCTGTGGGTTTCGGCAAACCACCCTCAAAATGGGAACAGGGAAGAGGAGGGAGTAAAGTTTGTCCTAACTCTTTGCCTGCTGGGGGCACAAACCAGTTCCTGAAGATCTAACTAGAACTTGGACCACCGGATGATTTTCACAGAGATCTCTCTCGCCACAGGGGAAGGAAAACAAACCCCCCCCCCAAGGTGGCCCTACCTCTGCATCAGGAGCCGACTTCTGACTTCCTTCAGAGGACTGTTTTTGCCGCCACTGCAACCACATCTGGTGGAGCTTCTCCTGACCGCTCTGGATCTTCTGGTCAACGCCTTGCTTGACCTCCTCGATCTAGGACAATGAGAGAACCATGTTGAAAGCAAGAAACCCCCCCCCCCATAAGTGGCCGGCGAGATCTGAAGTTGCCAAGCTCTTGAAAAGGCTTCAAGACTCTCTCTTTCTTACTCTGTGAAGGTGTTTGGTTGATACCATTTTTACCGGCTCGAGAGGAGCTTTGCCAGAGCTGAGCTGCTCCTCAGATGAGCTTTGCCAGACCTCCGCTGCTACTCAGGCCATCGTCGCTGGATGGGACTCCTCTCAGAGGGAGGTTGTGAAGTTTAAATGGATAACGCATGAGAGGAGACTGCCATGGGGGGTGGGGGAAAGGGAGAGTCTGATGAGGATTCCAGAGACCTGGGTTCAAATCTCTGTCCAGCTATGGAAACCATTCCAGAACATCCCTCAAACTATTTGCTAGGTTTGCCTACTTTGCTAGGGCGCACAACAAAGTAAAGGGTAGCTTTCTTACCAGCTCGATGGTTTGGTGAAGCTGCGCAAGAGCGTCTTGAGTTCCCTGCTTGGCGTCCTTCACCTTGGCCAGAGAATACTGGTAGACGCGGTGGCGGAGCTTGGTCGAGAGGGAGCCCAGCCGGACGAAGTAGCTGCGCTGCTCCTTCTGCTGCTCCACGGTGGCCACCTCAAAGCCCTCCACCGAGGTGGCCAGTTTGGCTAGTGAAATTTAAACAAAAAAAGAGCAACCGTTCAGTATTTTGAGAAGCAAGGTGGGGCGGGCGCAGGGAGGACAAGAAAGAGAAATCTCTTAACAGGGGGGGTGAGTGCAGGACGCGTCCGAATGGGCTCCAGCGACAGGAAGCCAGATTGTGGCTGAATCTCAGGAAAAACTTCTTAACTGTTAGAGCAGGATGACGACGGGACCCTTGACCCCAAGGGGGAGGGGGTGAGCGCTCCAATGTTGGAGATACTTTAAGAGAAAACGGGACCACCTTCTCTCTGATCTGCTTGAATCTGGATTCCTGCACTGAGCAGGGGGTTAAGTGGATGGCCTTCAAGGCCCCCTTTCATGAGTCTCTGATCCTCTAAATTCCCAAGTATTGAAGAAAACTGGCCACTAGAGGGCCCCCCCACAAAAGGCCAACCTATGCATAGGGCTTGCTATCCGCAGTTTCCGGTATCCACAGAGGGCTCTCGCAACCGATCCCCAGCGGATACAGGAATCCTATTGCATGAAGCGTAACATCCCTCTAAACTCCAAAGACCGCTTCTGGCCACAATGGCCTCATCAACTCACCCAATTCTTCATCCGTTATTGGAAGATAGCGGTCAACAAGCTCCTCAGATCTTCCCAGGACGGCATCCACGCCGCTGGTCACCATTTGGCCCACGGACGAACCCATGACCGTGTTGATGCTGCTGGTGACGGCCGACTTGGTCATTTCCATGCCCCCCGAGACAGCCGACTTGGTCATTTCCACGCCCCCCGAGACCGCCGACTTGGTCATTTCCACGCCCCCTGAGACAGCCGACTTGGTCATTTCCACGCCCCCTGAGACAGCTGACTTGGTTTTATCGACCACCCCAGACACGGTGCTGGTGAGGGCCTCCTTCGCGCCGGACACAGTGGACGTCACGAGGTCTCTGGTGTCCGAAATGAGCTGGAAAGACACCATTTTCAGACAACAGTTCTAACTAAAGGGAGGCGATGATGGTGGCAACATTCAGGGCAGGAAAATCAGGAAGGGTTGCTTTTAGAAAATAAAAATCACGCATGCTAGGTGCAAGAATAATAATTTTAGAACACTGGAAGGGACCCCATGGAGCATCCAGTCTAGCCCCGTCAAGGAGGTATGGTGGGGGATTCGAACTCCCAACCTTTGGCTCCACAACCAGAGACCTCAACCACTGAGGACTCCAGCTCTCATAAGATGATGCCCCATCATACCAGGCTGGTCTCCTTCCTCCGTTGCAGGGGGGGGCATGTTTGATTGCAACCTGTCCCCCAGGAAGAACTGCTCAACAGGATTCTGGCTCCAGATGTTTTAGCCCGCCATCTCCACCCCCTCCAACCACTGGCCACCCTGGCTGAAGGTGACAGTCAAGGATGATGGGACGTGGAATCCTAATTTAGTCTCAAAAGCCAAACTTTAGCTGCCCTTAAGGTTTGGCAAAAGGCTTGGCTTTCTAACCTGATGGAAATAAGGCACGTTAAGCCAAAAGTCCAAAGTGAACTCTGCGCCGGTAGGATGATGAGGCTACCACAGGTCATCATCATCAAACTGCAGAGCTGGAAGCGATTCTAGAGATGAAGTCTAGCCCTTGTCAGAAAGGCAGAGTGGAATTGGACATCCGTGGCCTCCTGGCTTCCAGTCCCTTGGTTGGGAAAGCTCACCCCTGCCCCAAAATGTGTAACTTGTTTTAAAGTGTTCTAAAATTTTCCAAAATATTTTGGAACTGTTTAGGACTTTTTCATGAGGTATTAGTTTTTTGCACCCAGCTTTTAGAATCACTGATACGAAACAATTTAGAAATACAGCAGGATCTGTGTATCTGTGGGGGGTGGGGGTGGTTGGCACCCAGCCCCTCTGTGGATGCTGAAAACAGCGGATAATAGCAAACACTAAACATAACTTGGTAAAAGAAAAAAAAACAGAAAAAAACCCATCTTCAACATGTATTACTAGAACTGGCCCTTAGAGGGAGCCAAAATCATGCTATGCATTCTTCAACATGCACACATAGTTCTGGCTCCCTCCAGTGGCTAATTCTGGTAGACATAACTTGGTATAAGAAAAAATACAGAAAAAAACCATTTTCAACATGTATTACTAGAACCGGCCCTTAGAGGGAGCCAACATCATGCTATGCCTTCTTCAACATGCACACACAGTTCTGGCTCCCCCCAGTGGCTAATTCTGGTAAATATATCGTGAAAATATGTATTTCTAATATTTTTTTCTTGTAACATTTTAAATATTTTCAGACCGTGGATACCAATTCTGCAGATACGGGGACAGGGTGATAGTTAACCTGAACAAATAACATATACCATGTAGGGGGAAAAAAGATATGCAAACACCCCACATTTTTTAATTCAAACTCTGTGCCGGCATAAAACGGGTTCCCGTTACCTTCTCCGTCGGCTGCTGTAGAATCGGGAGCTTCTCCTCCAATTTATCCAGTCCCTTGCAGGCGTACTCGTTAGCTGTTGAAACTAAACGAGGAGAGAGAGGGAAGGTTACTTTGCTTTGAAGCCAAATAAAACAACCCTCCATCGGATCCCGGCGCGGAGGTTTACCCCTGAGGAAATGTGCCCCAAACCGAACTGCTTCCCATAAGGGTGCGCGGGAACCCTAAGGAAGCCAAGCTTTCCTCATTCCTGGAAAGCAACTTCCAAAAATTCCCCCCAAAATCTGGAACCGAGCCCTGTGGCCAAGAAACCACACCCTTGAAATCTGGGGGTGCAGGCGGTTCACTTTCCAGCTCCATCATGCCCACCCCCCAGATTTAAGGAGATTTCTCTGAGTGTTTAACTGATAGGATAATCTATAATCATAGATGGGCAGGAGTTGGAAGGGACCCCAAAGGATCATCCAGTCCAGCCCCCATCAAGGAGGCCCAGTGGGAGATTTGAACTCAGAACTTCAACACTGGGGCCTTCACTCCTCCCATCTCAGTGCGCTGAAACTGAACAGGCACCATCGCCTCCTGGATCTCAAGGGGGGGGGGCACTCACTTTGTGGCTCCAGTTTGCTCAGGAGGGGCTGGGCCCCGCTGGCCGCGGCCGAGGCGACGGTCTTGACCCCCTTCTCTGCTGCGTCGCAGACGGACTTCACGTACGGGTGGCTCTCCTTGGTGGAGATGTAGGCCGCCGAGACCATGTCGTAGGCGGAACTGACCAAGGGCAGGCTGGCCACCCGGCCAGCCACATTCTGGGGGGGAAACAAAGGTGGAGACGGTCTTGAGAACTAGCAACTTAACTGCATGCGTGAAACTTTTAGAAGGAAAATGTTCTGCGTGGCAGACATTTCCCCCAAGGCCCCAGCAAGAATATCATCTTTTATTCCCTCTACTTGCCTGCAAAACTAAACAGCATAAAAACACCTCTACCGGCGGGATTGGTATCCGCTGATTCAGTTATCCGCTGTCTGAACCGTATTAAATTTTTAAAACCGAGAAATTTATGTTTATATCCCAATTAAGAAAAGGCATATAAATATTTATATGTATTCCTAGGGTGTATTTATCAGAACTTGCTACTAGAGGGAGGCCACTCTACGTATAGGCTTCACTATCCACATTTCTTGGCATCCGCAGGGGGCCGGGGCTTAAAATGGATCCCTGCCGGATCCTGTCGTCCTGCTTGTAAATCCAAAAAATAAACATGGTTCAGATGCAGTTCCTTTGCTTGTTTTATGCTTTAAAATCAAGAATAGGTGTATACATCATATATAAAGAGAAACAGCCTGTGTAAAGAGTAAAATAAGTATCTGGGATCAAAACACGGCATCTACACTGGACAGTTATGGCAGTTTGGTTCCACTTCCCATGTTACCGACTGCTGGGTTTTGTAGTTGGGGGGGAGGGTTAAGATCCTCTGCCATAGTTCAAGGGAGCGTCTTAAGAAACACCCTGACTGTCCTCCGGCTTCAAATCATTTCATCCGAGGAAGCCACAGCTTTCCGAACGGCATCAAACTGCCACGGACCCCAAGTCTTGCTACCTTTCACAGAGACCACGAAACCCATTCACTGCTTCGAAAACGGAGTCCGGGAGAACGTTTAATTTCGAAAAGCAGCCTCCGGAAGGCGACTCACCTTCTGGTCTTGGTCTTCCACGGCCGAGGAATCCACGTTGTGGGTGTCTTTCGAAGCCATGCTCCGGGTCAATGTGCAGCAGAAGAGGAAGGTCGGCCTCAAAGTTAGAAAAAGACTGGAGTCATCAAAAGATAAAGACGGGAGTCAATCCGATCGGAGGTCACGAGATAAAACGCTTCCACAATTTATGGGTTGATCGGTAAACTTTGATTCTCAGAAAAATTCCCTGCTTTGGGGTGAGACGGTTGTATAGGCTTTGTCCCACCGAAAGCCATTAAAGCAGGANGCCCGTCAACCCCCCCCCCCCCAATTCTCTATGGATGCAGCCGAGAAAGTTTAAAGCAGGATGAAACCGATTTAAAGACATTTCTATGAGATTCACTTCAGTTCGGAAGCAGGAGACCCAACGCAAACATCAGCCCTGGGAATCTTTGAAGATCACGGAATTATATTTATGATCTATTAATCTTCTCACAAAAGATCTGTGAGTAAACCGAACCCCGGGTTCAAAAATTGAAAGCGGCTTTTATTATTCCCATATAACTGTTATTATTTCTCTGTTTTTTAAAAAAATGTACATTTGTTGGAACCAACTTCCATTTCCCTGGGGGGCTTTTATTATTCCCCTATAACTGTTATTATTTCTCTTTTTTAAAAATGTACATTTGGGGGAACCAACTTCCATTTCCCTGGCCTTTGAGGGCCAGAATTTAAAGATGTGGCCCCGAGAACCCAAAGTCCCCCCCCCCAGTTTCCATCCATCTGTACGAAAAATAAAATAAAAAAAATAAATAAATGGGGGGATTATTTTTAAAAATTCATTTTTAATTCCGATGTTTGAACAACCATCAGATATAAACAAACATAGGGAAGAAATGAAGAAAAAAACCCACACGCCCTCCTAGATGGTTTTGATCTTAACTCTTTTCATGTATGCAAGTGTCAGGAAATATGCCAATTATATATATAATTTTTTGCTTGATATCTGGGGCAAAGGGCACTGTCATCACCCAGAGACCAATTTTGTAAGAGCGGCAAGGATGATGAGTCAACGGCCACTCTGACCCCATAACATTTATACAGCATAAGCCTTTCACCGGCTCATCTCAGAATCGTCTGGCTCCCCCCCCTTTTTTTTTTTAAACTCCAAAGAAACAGAAAGGGAGAAAGAATAGTATTTAAAAAAACTGCATGCAGGGCAGATAACTGCATGCTTTAAAAAAAAGGCCTGCAGTGAGGGGAAAAACTGCAGTGGGAAACAGAAGAGGGGGGGAAGAAGAATTTCTTAATAAGAACTTAAACAATGTACGTACTTAAAAAAAATACAGTACCCTATTTAAAAAACCCAGATCAGTTGCAACTATTTTAAAAGAGAGGCTTAACAGCTCAGGTTAAATTAATTTACTGGGGCTGAATTTTCACAGGGTAATGTGTAAAGGGCGAAAGCAAGAGTGCCCCTGAGCATATTCCTAAAAGTTTCAATTTTGGGCACGGGGAGTAAGATATCTATCTATCTATCTATCTATCTATCTATCTATCTATCTATCTATCTATCTATCTATCTATCTATCTATCTATCTATCTATCTATCTTATCATCAGCTCCTTCCTTCCTTCCTGTCTTTCTATCTATCTTTCTGTCTATCTAGATCTTGTGAAATAAATAGATTTATATAGACAGATTTTTTCCCACAGGATCTACATATGCAGTATTTACCTTTTTCTTTTTTTCACAGGACCAAAATATTCTAGCTTTCCAATTCCCACTAAAAAAGGAGCCCATTTCGAAGCTGCCACAGATTTGGGTTTTATCAAAACCTCAAACTAGGAAGGGTGCTTTTTGCAGAGGGGTGGTGGTGGATTGTTACAGCTGATCATTCAAGGTGAGTGGGGAAAGAGGGCTGAACCACACCCTCTAGGAG